TATGGGGGATTGAAGAGAATATTTGTGGAGGCAGGAGGAGAGATGTATGGGGAAAGAAATGCATCACAGGCTGACCGAAGCTGTGAGGTTGCTGGCACCTGATAATATATCTGTGGTTAGTTTCACTTGGATTCTCTAAGTACTGCTCTGTTAAGGGTTCCCCAACAGGACCGTGAATGGTACCATTCAAGTTAATCTCTACTTTTATTTTCATTTGCACATACACAGGCACCTCCCATGTATATGTCGAATGAAAGGTGGAAAAGTGAGGCAAAGCAGGTAAAATGAGGATGAGCAAAGAGAACAGAATAGGGAGGGAGCAGACTAAGAAGGGAAAAGTGCACAGAAAAGATAAAAATAGAAACTGGGACGGACAGACCAGCAGGAAAACACAGGAGACCCCCATGTGGCCACTACACGTGACCTCCAGGGTCCACACACCTCCCTCCTGCTGTAGGCAAGGTCTGTGTGCTGAGTCAGTTTGTTTTCCCCATCTGTGTGCTGCTTACCTGCCTGCCAGGGAGTCTCAGGTCTCAAGAGCTGTCAGTCTTTGGACTCAAGGCTGCAAACCACGCTCTGGGCATGGCTCAGGAGAGAACTCTGTCTCTACCCCAAGACTGAACCCCCTCACTTAATTTGGGAGAAGAGGATGTGGAATAGTTTGCCCAGCACCAGGCTCTTCATTGACTTCCGCCAATGACTCCCACGCCCACTGCCCTTGCCGCCTGGCAAATCCGTGTCCTCTCCGCGTTCTCCCTTCCAGGGCTTTTTGTCTCGTAGATGCCAGGAGCCTGCTGCCCCAGGTGATGCTTTCACCCTCAGATCCTTAAACATTCTGAACCTAAGAGCTCTGCTTTCCAGCACGCAGAGCGTGGCCCTCAGGGGGTCTCCTGTGCCAACGCGGGCTGGTAGGCAGTGGGTAGAGTTTCCCTCTGTCTCAGAGCTCTGGTGTCCGAGGAAACACTACGAAAGTGCCCACTCTTGGAGCAGTTCTGCTGAGCCTTCCTTCCTCGTGTCGTCTGGATTAGATGTGACCCACGGGTGCCTGCCAGCGAGCTCAGTGTAGTCTGCGGCCTGCAGTCTTCAGCCTCTGCGTGGGATGGGAGGCCCCACTCGGAGCGCTGGGCGTGGGTGGGATGCTGCAGGGACGCGGCTCTCCTGGCTTTCGGGAGGACCTTGGTGTGTTTTTATCCCTTTCTTTCATTGCAGTTTGTGGCCCTCTAAGACCTCAGCCCACTTTACTCCCAGGAATCGACGAACTCAGGACCTCATGCCATTTTTAAAAAAACAGTTCAGCTAAGTGTTTGGATCTAGAGGATTTGTCTTTCAGATTGCTTTTGTGTATCTGGGTGTGACTGGCTCCCCTATTTCAGAATTAGTATTATTCTTATACTTCAGATTTGAGTTTTGTTTTTGGATAATACAGAAAGGTAAATAGAAGATATTAAGGAGATGGAATGGGATGGGTGGTCTGGAAATATGCTGGAGTTAGTTCATAAAACTATTTTCAGAGGCATGTTACCTCATGTTTGTAAGTATTGTAGGCACACAGATGTGCAGCCTTACATAAAATTACTCTTACTTGGCTTTTTCTGACTACTGGTATTTCATCCTGGACAAATAAAAAGTAGGTGTTATCGAACAATGGTCTCAGCCATTAAAAGGCTCAATACCTTACAATACCTCACTGTGAGCAGTGAAGCTTCCTGGTGAGCCCTGGAGGATAAACTGGTTGCACTATGTGATTGCAGACAACGACATGAACTAATATTCTCAATGAGGCTGTTAATTAAATTTGGTAAGATGTTGGGAGACGTAAAGTAAAAATTAACTTTGGCTTTTGGGACAACTAATCACTCTAAGCCATTCTTTATGAAGACAGATAGCCAGGCTAACTATCTTTCAAGACTAATCTTGGCACATGGCAAAAAAGTGCCAGTAGTACATATAAAACAACTTTATTGTTTAAAAATATTTTTTCTAGGATCTTACATACATATTTTTCTTATAGTTGTGATTATTATGTAAACAATTTGAATTTTGATATTTCACCTAAAATTTTATCATAAGTATTTTATATATAACCCATTTAAAAGTCATACAATATTTATTACACAGATGTAGCACAATTTTCCTAGTTTTTCATTAAAGCTTTGAGCTGGGAGAGTTCCTTAACTATATAGGTAACTCATCATCCTACACACTTCCACTTAAAAGAAGACTATCTTTTGGGTATTTTATTCATTCAACAAACATTTTTGTATCCCACAACATTTAGACGTCATTGGGTGGTTGAAACAAAAGATTTGCCTGTAGATTAACTTTGGTACAATACTGAATACATGGTAATTGCAAGACAGCCATATAATTTACTGAGATTACAGAGAAGCAAATAATGGGATTTAATGGAGGGAGTGAAATATGAAATGGAGTTTAGAGAGCAGTAAATGTTAATAGGTTAAAAATGGATGTAGGGGTCTTTAGCTTTCACCCAGGAGAGAGTGAATATTAAACTAGTCCTTCTGATGTAAATAAACACAAAACAGACAAAATATACAAGATATCTGTTTTCAGGTACTGAAAAACATAGAGCGCAGGATTATAGCTCTTTAGAAAGGGAAGCTGTTGTAGTGAGCTCTACCATCATGTAAGTTTTCTGTTTTAATACACTTTCCAGATGTGGGATGTAGGAGGGACTCAGCGTGATTGTGTTGCTGAACTGGAGACACAGATCAGAGTTGGGAAAGCAGGGTTTGTTTTAAATTTGTAAGGCAGAGGAGAAAAAAAGTGTACAGGGAAGGGATTCTGGAAAAGTATGTAAGGAGACCTTGAGACTATTACTGGGATCTATAAGTTAAGTAACTTGGGATTTATACAAAGTGGGAGATTTCTGAGTTTCAACCAATCAGGGTGGAGAAATCTCACTGAAAGTATTAGGGATTTGGTAAATACCTCAGAAAATTCTCAAATACCTTGAGAATTACGAATAAATTAGCTTAAAAATAAAGGCTGTTTTAGATCTGTTTAACAACAACACCAACAATGACTTGAAAAAAAAAGAACTTTAAGTGTATTACATGAACTATCTGTAGGTATAAAGCTCAAATGTTCATTTCTTTGGAATTGAAGGATGTTGGTTATATAGAATAATGTTCCATTTTAGAGATTTATACATGCACATAACATGCTTTGATCATTTTTGCCACTTCTTCAGTTTCACTTTTTTAAAATGTCTTTTTGAGACAGGGTTTCACTCTGCAGTTCACGATGGCTTTGAACTCACTTTGTAACTGAGGCTGTCTTAGAACTCACAGTGATCCTCCTGCCTCAGCATCCTGAGTGCTGGGATTACAGGGGTGTGCCACCATTCACATTTTTTTGGGGGAAGGTTTCCATGTGTATATTTTGATCATACTCATATTTCTTTTTTTGGGGGGGGGGTGTCGGGAATCGAACGCATGACCGTGTGCTTACAAGGGAGGCACTTATACCCCCGAGCTAAATCCCCTGCCCGAATGTCCATATTTCTTAATCAAGCTCAAACAACAAAATCCAGACATTCAGTAAAAGAACATCCATCATACCCGTTACCCAGTGAAACAGTTAGTAGCAGATATATGTGCCAACTAATGGGGGGGGGGGGGATAAAGGATATCAGCAAAATGGCAGGAGAGGAAACCACACATCCTCGTTCCTCCATATAAACATACATTTAACACTATAGAAACCAAGTGTCATTGCGAAAAATCCAGAAACCAGTTAAGAATGTCTTGGACTCTAGTTTGAAGACAATTCCATCAAAGCCTAGTAGGAAAAAATTTAGCAGTCACAGAGCCCCTCCCAGCGATGCGGCGTGGCAGATGGGAGGAAATATACAGCTTCTGGCTTCTTCCTGTGAAAGCGAAGGAACGGAGTATACGGCCAACATATGACTTCTTGGAGATCTGTTGTGGATCTGGAATTTGCGTTGGCTGAATCTACGCATTGATAGAAACAGGGTATGTGTAAATGATTAGCAGTTAAGAACCAATGTTAACGTCCTTGCTCCAGCACTAGATTTGCAGTACTATGTACTGACACTAGGTGGAGCGCCAACACTACAGCTTTCTATGGCACCTGCGCAGCTGCGGTGTCACAGACTTGCCCAGCCAGAGGTCTTGAGTGGAATCAGTAAATCTTTTGCACTAGGGCACAACATACGTAAGCCCAGAAGAGGATAGAAAGGGGTACAGATTTTTTAAAGTTCTACAATAAAAACTGGGACTGGTAGTTGGTTTGTAAGTGCTGACATTCCAATGTAATAGCACACAAGGAAATAGTAAAACTGCGTATTAAAAGGCTCGTTAAATCTTCCTAATTGACCTAAAGAATGGGTAACATAAGAATGAATGTGAAATATAGCACAAATATAGAATTGCACATAAAATGTTAATGTGCTAGAAAATGGAATGTCATAAATTGAGTTACTTCTGTAACACACACTTAGGCCAGGAAAAGAGCAGGGCCAGCCCTGAAGGAGACGCCTTCCTGCCTGCGCTCTCTGTTCCAGAGGAAGCCACTAGCCTCACTTATTTTTAATGGTAATAGTTAGTTTTTTAAATATTTTTATACAGTTTACAACCTAGATGTACATTTATAAAAATATAATTTGACTTCTTTTTTTTTTTTTAACTTTTTGAGACATGGTTTCTCTGTGCAGTTCAGGTTACCCTTAAATTCACTTTGTAGTTCAGACTGGCCTCAAATTCACAGTGTTCCTCCTGCCCCAGTCTCTGGAATGCTGGGATTACAGGCTTGCGTCACTGTACCTGGCCTCAGTTGCTTTTGATTTGAAATTGAATCTCTCTAAGGATTTTTTTTTCTTACCAGAGTCATCTTGTTCAACATCATACATTGGTGACTTGTATTGTATATCTGCAGCTTTTTCCATTTTTGGTGCGGTGCTCTGTTGTGGGATTTAATATTGCTTTTAAATTTTATTCATTTATTATTATTTTGTACATCGAATGTGATAATGTGCCGATGTTGTAACCAGGTTTGAGAGAGGCGCATTTCACACAGTGACATAGAGCCCCAATCATCACCTTTGGAAGTCACAAAAGAATTTACCCATTATCTTTTTTTTTTGTTTGTTTTGTTTTCTTTGTTTTTCTTTTTTTTTTGTGATGCTAGAGATTGAGCCTAGGACACTCTACTACTAAGCTATATTCTCAAGGCTTTTTATTTTTTAAGGTAGTATCTTACTGTGTAGCCTAAGCTGGACTTGAACTTGTGATCCTGTTGCCATAGGCCAAATAGCTGGTATTATAGGTGCACTCCACCATGTCTGGCTTATCCATGTTATTATTTTTTAAAAATTTATTTTAATTAGTATATGTTTGTAGTGCACAATGATTACATTCACGATGGGGAGTTGGCGTAATGATTTTAATTGTTTTTTCATCCCATTTCCCCTCCTTTTCCTCCCCCATCCCTCCATCTCTTGGTCCCCTTACCTTTTGCAAAGACCCATAACCTTGTTTCCTATTATCTATCTATCTTTTATTTTGTTCTTTATTTTACATATGGGGTTTCTCATGTAAGAAGAACTATGCAATATTCAAGCTTGCATGTTTGATTTATTTCAATTCATATTATTGTCTAGAAGTGCACCCATTTTTCTAAAAATGACAAGTTTATCCTTTATGGCAGGGTAGTATTGAGAACATATAAAGAACACAAAAACATCAGTCCTCCCAAACTTAAAGACCCAATCCAAAAATGGGTGTCTGAGATGAATACATACTTTTTAGATGAAGAAATATGAATAGCTTTTGTAGTTCTGTATTACGTGTACCCTTACACCGCTTTGTTTTGTTTTGTGTTTTTCTCTTTTTCCTCTTAAATAAAAAAAAAGAAATATGAATAGCAAATAAATACATGACAAAAATGTTCAACACCATGATCATTTGAGAGATTCAAATTAAAACAGCACTGAGATTTCATGTCACCCCAGAAAGAGTGGCTACCATGAAGAAATCAAGCAATAACAAATGCTGGAGAGGCTGTGGGGAAAAAGGAACACTTCTCTACTGTTCATGGGAATGCAGACTGGTACAACCACCATAGAAATCAGTGTGGCGATTCCCAAAACACTAGAATTGGACGTCCCATTCAACCCAGCTATTCCCCTTCTGGGTATCTTCCCAAAAGAATTAAAAACACAGCACAATAATATATGTGCACCCATGTTTACAGCAGCACAGTTTGTAATAGCTACATCTTGGAAACAACCTAAATGCCCATTGACTAAGGAATGGATAAAAAAAATGTGATTTTTTTATACAAGGGAGTACTACTCAGAGCCATAAAGAATGATAAACTGCACATGTTTATAGTTAATTGGATGCACCTTGAGAAGATACTCATTAGTGAAGTAAATAAAACACACATGCAAACAATGTATTGCTTCATTATCATGAGAAGCTGAAAGAAAACACATATGTGTACGTGTATGTTTATGTGTGTAAAAATAGTTAAGATAGTTATACTCCTGATTTCTCTGAGTTTGCTGAAGAGAAAGATTTATGCTGGTATTGTTCGGACAATTGAATGCAGATGTCTTGTGTTCTGGGTAAATGATTTGGGGATGACAATGTGCAATGTATGTACCATTGTTACCGCCTGATTGATGTGCTTTGAAATTTTGTTGTGGCTTTTTTTCCTTCTTTTTATCTTTGGATAAAATGGATCTGAAAAAATGTGACTTTTGTCCAAGTAACCAAAGAAGAAAAATGCCAGTAGAAATCATTTCCTTGAATTTAATTGCTTTATTTGTATGTTTATTAGTACATATTTGCTATATATAATCATTCTACTTATCACAAGATGGTATAGTTTCATAACACTTAATTTTTACCTCCCCTTTCTCTCCCCTCTCTCCCACTCCCTCCATCTCTAGATCCCCTTTCCGCCTGTAGAGTCTCTGTCTCCTTTTTTCATATTATCTATGTTTTATTTTGTGCTTCAAGTTATTTATACTTTGGGTTTTTCGTATAAGAGAAACTATATGATATTTATGTTCATGTGTCTGATTTATTTCACTTATTATTATGGTCTCATCGCATATTCATTTCTACAGATGACTCAAACTTAATTGCTTTAATTAACTCGAACCTGATTAAGCATTGGTATGAAATTTGAGTATCAACTCTGAGATCTAGTACCATTCTCTATGTAGTGATAATTTTCTGGAATTATGAGATGGAGGAGAACAAGGCAGCATATTCACTGTTGGAAGTAACAATCACTATTATTGTGGCCCTGGGGGTACTCTCTAAATCATGACTGTAGTCTTTGTCAAAAAACTACCAGTCAGCTACAAAATACGGTTTGGATGGCAAAGGTCTTTTGGAGTAAATTCTTCTGATTCTGTAGTTTCTAGAAATCTTCTGAAAAAACTATATCTGGTTTTAGAAACCCTGATTTTTACCACAGCCTCTGACAGAATGAACATATCTTTCCAGTATATTTCTTAAAAAATCCAGGAAAGTATAATGTAAATGCCTCTTTACTATTTTTTTTTTTTTTGGTTTTCTTGAGACAGGGTCTCTCTGCAGTTTGGGCAGGCCTTGAGCTCACTTTGTAGCCCAGGCTGGTCATGAACTCACAACGATCCTGCCTCAGCCTCCCGATTGCTGGGATCTTTACTATTTTGATTCAAATATCAGAATCCAAGTGGAACACCCTACTAAACGCCTCCAGAAAGGGAGATTTGTGCATTAGAGGTGGTTGTGTCTTTGCACATACTTCTTTTAGGGCTGTGATCATTGTTTGTTGTTCTCCTTTGGACCATCTCTGAGAATCTATGCCTTTCTCTGAATGTTTGCAATTGTTTCCATTAGACGTCTTCTGTCCTCTTTTTCTGATGAGCCAGATACTCTGCTGAAAAACATTTCTAGGGAAATGATGGTTCCTCTTCTCTGAGGCACACTTATTTTCTTTTCTGGGATTAACTGTGGTTCCTGAATTGTATGCTTCTTTTTATTGCTTACAAGGAAGGACAGAGATACAATCAAATTGTAGGTAAGCCAGCTGCTGTCCTAGGTTTTGACCCTGGCCTCCTGCCTATCCTAGGTACTTAGTTCATAGCACAGACAGGAGGCTTTTTACACAAGACACCGCTATGGGAAAACTAGTCCTCACCACTAACTCTTATCTGTCCCTTCCCATGTGGCTAAAGGTCATCGTCATCTCTCACCACATTCTTTGCAAAACCTGCACAGTGACAGAATTCCTATTCCTCTCCTTCCAGTGCCTCTGGTGGAGGACAGAAGAAATTCAGTGGCAGCACTTTTGCTGTGTTTTGGAACATGAATCTCTTTCTTATCAGGATTCTCTGCTTATCTCTCTTGGTCTTGCTCATGCTCCACACTAGTGCTACTCATGCCACTTCAGGCATCGGTTAGCCATAATATAGAAGATGGCATTAAACGCAGATGAACAGCTTTCAATACTTGCATTAGTAATCGTTTGGAGGATTTTCTTTTTTTCTCTTTTTTTGGAAACAGGGTCTCACTATGTAGTTCAGGCTGGCCTTGAACTCAGAAAAATCCTCCTGCCTCAGCCTCCCGGGTGCTAGGGTTTCAGGCATGCTCTTCCACATCTTGCTGGAAGACCCTCAGTGATAAGTTTCAACAGCAGTCTGACTGAGATAGATGCTCCCTGAAATGCAAGAAATTAGATTTAGAAATTGGAAAAAAAAAGATGAGCCCTGAAATAGGAGAAGATAAAAGCTGTTGGCATCATGACATGAAATTTGATATCAGTAAATTAAAGGAATTATTTAATTAGTAGCTTCAAGTCTACTTGCACAGCAGTGCTGACTGAGAAATAATGTGTTGTGAATGTGTTTTACTGGTTTTGGTTATATCCTTGTTAAATCTTTTTTTTTTTTTTTTGAGATAGGATCTCACTATGCAGTTCAGGTTGGCCGTAGGCTCACTTTGTAGCCCAGGCTGGTCTTGAATTTGTACTGATCGTCTTGCCTCAGCCTCCCAAGTGCTTGGATTTCAGGGGTGTGCCATCACACCATGCATTAAATCTTTTATTGATGAAAAAATCGTCAGAATTTTACTTTAAATTTTAAGTTATAACATCAGACCATGCAAAAATGCAAACTAATTGTTTTACAAGTGAAAATACTCAGTAATTTATTACCCCTAATTTTCATCTGTAAGATGGATGAACATTTGTGTATGTAGGTGCTGGTTTATGCTACTGGTAAAGTAAAAATTGGGATAGTTTTTACTGAAAGCAGTTTAGCAGTAGGTTTTGTGTGTGTGTGTGTGTGTGTGTGTGTGTGTGTGTGTGTGTGTGCTGGGGATCAAACCTGCAACCTCGCATTTGCCAAGCAGGTGCTTATGTTGCTGAGCTAAATCCTTGGCCTCTAGCAATAGATTCTGAAACTATGAACTCCTTGTACTTAGCTAGGCATGGTGGCATGAGCCATAACCAGCATTCTAGCCAGCTGAAGGAAGGATTTTGTAAATGGAAGCCTACAGTAGGCAATTTAATTAAAAAATAAATAATGATGCCTGGGAATGTAACTCAATATGAAGGCCTTGTGTTCAATCCCTAGTACCACCAAAACAAGAAAATACCATTGTGCTTGACATTATGTTATCCTAGAATATTTCAAATATACAAAGGTTGATACTGTACTGAACCCTCATGTGTCTAGCTTCCGTTTTAGTGTAAATATCATCTTGTGATGAAAAAACAAATTATTTAATATGCCTGTCTGTTTACTCCCATCTTTATTATGTTGGCATAAATCTTAGTTATCATATTCCTTTTTTCCAAGTCATCTTATATAAGCCATTGTTTATTATTGCATATATATATATATATATATATGTATATGCACTTGTCTTTTTGGGACAAAGTTTCACTATGCAGTTCAGGCTGGCCTTGAACTCATTTTGTAGCCCAGGCTTGCCTTGAGCTCATAACAATCCTCCTGCCTCAGCCTCTCAAGTGCTGTAAATCTTTTTTAAAATCAGATTTTATTGGGATACTTTATGTATATATAATGATCAGATTCATCATAGAACATTTGTGCCTG